TACATATTATACTTAATTTATTAGTTTTAATATATTGTTGGATGTAAACCATTAGCATTTTAAAGATACAATTTTGGAACAATTTGTATAAAATATTTAAATTATTAATGTGAATATAACATTACAGGGTCAACTTAAATATAAATTTTAGTTTAACTTAAACAACCCAAAGAATGTTTTGTAAATAGTTAAAAGTAAATAATTGTAGTGTCTTTCTAATAATGATTATAAGTTGGTTAATACGGTTAAATAAATATCAAACCTAAAGTGTAATCATAAATATAGTAAATTTCAATTTTAAAATAATATCTTTACTTCTACTTATAAAGTTATGTCTTTAACTTTTAACATATTATACTTAATTTATTAGATTTAATATGTTGTTGTATGTAAACTATTATCAGTTTAAAGCTACAACTTTTGAACAGTTTGGACAAAATACTTAAATTGCTAAGTTAAATATAACATTACAATGTCAACTTAAATATAAATTTCAATTCCACTTAGAAAACCAAAGAATATTTTGTAAATAGCTAAAAGTGATAAATTGCAGTGATAAATTGCAGTGATAAATGCAAAAACTAAATTATAATATCAATTTAACTAAAATATTTCCTAAAAATATTTTTATAATCGTTAAAAGTTTTAAAAGAAGTAGCTTAAAATAACTTAAAATAACAATAGTTAAAAATAACTCTTTATAAATGATTATATTGTTACATTTAAAATATAAAAACAATGTTTGATGTTTTTAATAATTATAATGATAGAAATTAAAACATTAAGCAAATAAATTTTAAAAAAGTAATTAACAATAACAACAACTATAAATAACATTAAACCATATATTATATTTAATTTGATTCATGTGTAACTCGCGGATAGAAGTCATTCAAACGATTAAGATTATTCAGTTATAATTGATGTGTATATATATATATATATATATATATATATATATATATATATATTATCATATAACTCAAAATAATCAATATATTATATCAATTTAGTATACAAATTATTATATCAAATTTAACAACAACGTTATTGCTATATTAAAAAAAAAAACATATATTTGTAAAGACTTCAACTATATAGGTGTTTCTGCGCAACGCACGGGCATTCGCCTTGCATATCTTATAAAGCTAGCATTTTTCCTTGAACATCATGCATTTGAAACTCCTAAGACCATTTTTTCTTGAACCTCATGAATTTGAAACTCCCAAGACTATTCAAGTTATTCAAATTAATATATGATTAATTGAAATATTATGATTTGTAACTCTTAAAACTCTTCAAATCATGCTATTTAATTGATGAGTTAAATGAAATATTTAGTCTATATAAGAAATTTGTAGATTATATATTGCATGTATGCCAATAGAAAATGATAGATTATATTTGTAAGGTTTGAAGAGTTCTGTGAGTGGTTCCATGGATGTAAGAAAACAATTTCAACTTTTCCAAATATAAATTCATGTAAACTCAACTCGGGTGAATGTAAAGTTTTAGATATTAACTAAGGTTCAAATTTAGGTATGTTTGTAAAGGTATATTTGAGATCATTTTTTAAGTTTATGTGCTATGCATCTTTCAATAAGCACAGGATGATGAAGAGTAATTGATAATTACTTCTCATAAGCTTTCGGTAAATCAACCATTAAGCTACTTATAAGATAGAGCAATTAACTTTGTTAATATGTATGTATCTTTATGTTGTCTCTCTTTCTTTTATGTTAAGAAAATATATTTAATGTTCAAGAGAACATTATTTAACATGTATTTTATGCTATGTATATATTATGTTAGTTTCTATCGCTTATTTTGTTGTAAATAACATCGATGGAGTTTTGTATCATTGATTTTGATGAAAGGAGTTTACAATTATTATTCCAAATTGTTGGTGATAATGACGAATTAGAACGAATGATTTTTAATATGATATGACTTTATTGTTGAAAATCAATAATTATGTGTGTTATAAAAATAAATTTTTTATGTTCTACAAAAACTTATATGGAAATACCTAATTTTAAATGTTTATATATTAATAAAAATAAATTATCTTATTACATTTGTCAATTTCCTTTTTCCCTATTCGTTCTTCATCGTTAAGGAAAAGTAAAATAAATAGAATATTAATATTTTCATAAGAAATAACACCCAATTAGCAATTGGGTTCCGAACCTAATCCAATAACCTATATATGGGATAGAAATACCATTTTACCCCTCACCTCATTTGGTCCAAGACTAAGGCCCAACTCTTAATCATAAAGGCCCACAAACCAATAATCATCCAAAGCCAACATATGGCCCAATTTTCCAAATTGGGCCCAAACCCTTACTTGGGCCTTACCCTAAAGCCACTACTTATCCCTAATCCAAATCACGCATTCTCAGATGGCCCAACAAATCCCCAAGTAACCAAGCCCAAAAAGGTGGCCCAAACCGAAGCCCAAACACATAAAACCCATTCATATCGAGTATGCGGGGCGTACAGGCACGTACTCGCAACGTACTCGCTTGGAGGCTTCTATGATGCGCGTACCTGCTTGTACGCCCAGTGTACTCACCTTATTCAGCCGAAACTCGATTTTCACTTATTCAATTAAGACAACGCTTTCCAAACCACATATCTGACCTCCTTGAGCCGGAATACCACGTAAAGTTGCCAACTTTACGTTCATACATGACTATAAGAATCTCTTAAGCTTAAAAGGGACTTATTGGCTTACTTAATGCATGCATGACTCCATAATACCCATAAATCTTGCACCTTCATGCTCAAGGGTACAAAAACAAACTCAGACATGAAAGGATGGACCCTTAAACAACCTAACTCATCCATAATCTCAAAAGAAGACCAAAATCATAATAAACTAGCCATGAAGAGATCTAATCATACATAAGCCAAGATGAAAAATTGTTACCACAAAAAGCTTCCCCACAAGGTGATGATTCTGGATCCAAAGCTTTCTCACCAAGCAAAACGACTTCAAACTTCTCTTCTTTCCTTCCCAAGGGAAAAATGAGCATCAAAGCCTCCCAATAGCTCAAGAACACCTCAAAGAGGCTACAAGGTCGATTTAGGGTTTTTAGAGTGTGGAGGCTGACTTATAAATGAGGGAAATGGGCTAACATAAAGCTTTTATAAGGTACAAATACAAAAATTAGGGTTTCTTACTAACCCTCGTACGCCCAGTGTACCAGCTCGTATACCCAGCGTACGAGGTCTCACACCCCGCTCCCATCTCCGAAGTACGCTAAGCATACAATCCATTATGTATGTCGTAACCCTCATCGCATCAGTACGCCTCACGTACTCCCTCAGTACACCTCGTGTACTAGGGTCTTCCCTCAAACCCTAATCCATTCTGAAGGCCATAACTTCTTTGATACAACTCCGATTCCGTCCATCCTTACATCCATGAAAAGGTATCGAGAAGCCCTACACTATTATCAACTCATACCTGAATTAAAGCTCCTTAAACCCAAAATTCAAGTTCCATAAAGGCTTACTGCCAATTTACCAAAATACCTTTGGCTCCAAATATAACATCGAATGCCCGAATCATCCGCATCCCATTACCCACACTCAAATGGGTAACGATTCGGAACAGGGCGTTACAACTCTCCCCCACTTGAATTAGATTTCGTCTTCAAAATCAGCCCTTACCATTCCCGACACTCCAAACAATATGAGCCACACAACCACAATTCTGAGTATACCACTGCCTTCCCAAGGCAACCGAAACCAACC